CTTTTATTTATTATATCTTATTAACCGATGAAAAGTAATTCCTTGGTTTTTACTGACATTTCTCGAATTATCTTCTGCTCAATATCTAAGTACACACGACGGCATATTTTTATCAAGAGATTTTTTTTAAATCAACACAACTCAAAAAAAATTTTCAAAATTCAAAAAAAAAAATTTTTCAAAATTCAAAAAAAAAAAAGACAAATTAATAAAATACATACACAATAATATTTGCAAAGAGTTCCATTTTCAAAATTTAAACTTACTTTTTATTATATCGGTTACAAGTAGCCAGTTCTAAAAAAACTCAGTTGTCGCCCTCGTACTTTTATATGGGTTATTGGAAGGTTAGACCATTCAAAGCTTATCTCTTTTATACAAAGTAATTATGTTCAACTGTTAACAACCTATGCAAATATTACTGTGTAAACTTTTACCTTAAACCCGCATTTAATCCGTGAGCCTGTAAATAGAGCTTACGCAAGAGTTCGTACAATTAAAGAATATATAACCAATGTATAAATGTTAAAAATTGGGTAGAGATGTACGTTGCCACGCAGGTAAAGCAGATATAGCAAGTTTTTCTATTGGTAATAATAAAAACTGTTGTAGTTGCCGACCCGCATGTCAAGTGCAGAAACTATGTTAAAATCGGGGAATGGAATGAATTTTACCGTATTTATGATAATTTTTCTTTTTCACATCAAGTATGTTTACAGCTGCCAGGCAATTTCACGAGCCTTTAAATGCAATTTGCGCACCATTGCGGAATAAATTGCTCCTTGGCAGTTAAAACGAATAATTTCACTCGGAGATTATGAAATTGCTCTTAAATCTCAGCACTAGATCAGATTAATATCTCAACTAAATAGAACGATGACATTTGTCACGTCATATTATAGCAAACGTAACATGTTATCAATTGATGTTTCACGTTCTGACCATGATATTTGAACCGTACGGTTAGATCGATAAATTAATTTGTTCCTATGCTGAATACTAGGCATGTGTCAATCATTCATTTCTCGAAAATAGTACGAAAGTGACGAAATGTTGCATCTCTTTGCATTTTATTTCGCATATACCATGGAGAGTGCTCTGAGGAATTGTTCGGATTAATCCCAGCCGCCAAATTTCGTGAACGCACTACGCGGCAAACGTCCCGATACCATCCACACCATCTGGATGCTTGGCGGTCCACCACAGTACGTTTCAAAAGGAGTTTTCTTACGTGTACAACTTCTCTGTGGAATAGTTTACCACCGGCGATTTTTCCGGACCGATACGACCTGGGGACCTTCAAGAAAAGAGCTTACTCCTTTCTAAAGGGCCGGCAACGCACCTGCAATTCCCCTGGTGTTGCGGTTGATCATGGGCGGCGGTAGTCACTTAGCATCAGGTGAGCCGCATGCTCGTTTGCCCCCTCTTCTATAAAAAAAAATGTCACGCGTGCCTGTACATTCGGATCGATCATTCAAATGGATCATTTCGAGCTCCAGTACCCTACACTAAAAAAAATTAGTTAGATTATTCGGGATTCGGTCGGTTTTTGACTCATTTACAATTCATACCAATCACGAGTTAAAAAGGTTCCGTCGATTGTTTGTGATCGGTTGTACCGAAACATTCAAAAACTGATGAATGTACCCTCAATACTTTTAAGTGTACCAGCTCAAACGAACGAATCATTCATGACACATGAAATGATACTGAATACGCTAGAATATACGTATTTATTAAATAACCCTCTTGCCATGCGTGGCAACTATTGCAAATTATGGGGTAAACTATGGGGTAGGCCTATGTTCACAAGTGGACTTTTGATAGACTGTAATAGGCAGCAGGGCATGGTTTGAGGTATGTGATACCTGGGAACTCAGGATGCTGGGGTAGTTCACGGATAACTGCCTTAAAATTTTATTTGTTCGCAAGCATACCGAGTTGAATTTCATTTAATTTCAGATTCGAGTTAATCGCAATCTTAAGTGCTGGTTAATGTTGCTACGCCGATAATGTTGTATGTGCTGGGCGACGAAAGAAATTAGCGTGAAGACACACAAGTCTAAAAAATCTATAAGAAATTGTAAGTATGCGTGAAGCCAACAGGAATTGGCACAGCATGGCGACATCATTTCAAAATTAGGACGAGAGAATAATCTCAAATAATTCATCAGTGGGACGTAAAATAGAAATTACTATTTATTACTACTTACTATGCGACGACGATTACGACTGTACTTTGTGCTTTATTGTCTATAGCGTTCATATTTTTTTGTTGGTAATTTAGTACTAAATTCTTTAAATCTTATCTTCGAAATAATTTACTGCGCGTAGCATACGCTACGTGACAATAATTTAACTAATTTATCGTCATTATCGTCTTCTAAGGCATAGAATGGAATTATTTTGTGTAATTTAGCTAGCTGCATTTCATTAATTGTAGACTAACATAAAATCGCAAATAGGTATGTAGATAACGAATCCAAATATTGTTTCTTTGAATCCGCCGTTCACGACTAACGGTACAGTATTTTAAACATAGAGGAGTTTAACTAGTTAACATTAAATTAAACTAATTTTTGTGACCATGGGTGCTGCAAAGTACTCGAAATGTCGGGAATATAAAATAACTTGATTAAACGCGATAAAATCTGAAATTTTATCGAGTTAGAAAATTTCATTTAATGTGTAGTGTTCGAGTAAACTTAAGAAATCATTAGTCAACATTTAAAAATTAAAAAAGTAAAGTAAAGTAAAGTTACAACCTATATACGTCCCACTGCTGGGCACAGGCCTCCCCTCATTTCTGAGAGGGTTTTAGGACAAGGAAGTGTCCGCCGCGCTGCCCCAATTCGTGTTGGCGAACTTCACATGTCTTCGAAATACTTTTTTTTTCTCTTATCCCTCAGATATGCAGGTTTCCTCACGATGTTTTCCTTCACCGCGGAGCACATGATAAATCAGCACTTAAAATTGCAATTAACAATTTCATTGGTGCCGGCGGAGATCGAACCCGGGTTACTCGCATTCAGTTATATTTAAAAATTAGCTATAAGAAAAATAAAATAGTATTTAACTAAAAGAGTATATTTTACCTGTAACTAGGCACGGGCCACGCATGCCCTGCACACGGTAGTCGAACATCTTGTCCTACTTGCACACGTCGTGAATGTGGTTCCAAAACCCAACGTGGCCTTACTTCTCCTTTGGGTTCCGTTACGATTATGCGTCCTAGAGAAAGTTATTTATATGCTTATTATACCCATTAATGAGAGATTTAAGACAGTGGTTAAACTTTCTAAGGAAGTTAGTAGTACAAGTTTGACCTTTAACGTCTTCGCAATTATTATGAAACTTGCTAATTGATTAATCTATATTATCTGCTACATCCTCATCATTGATAGAATTAGGCGTTACTTTGCGGAAATCCATTATAATAAAATTATTGATTACCTTGCAACCTTCCGCTAACTAAATACAATGATGTGTATTACCTGAATTGAAAAGCACCACCCGCCCTCCCTCAATTGCATGCACTAACTCCGTCACCACTAGTCCCAGCACCACTACTCCCAACCACTACTTCTGGCACCACTACTTCCAACACCAATTCACATAATATGTTATAATAGGCCGATTAGATAAGCGTCCATGTGCGCTATACATAAATAACCTATGTTTTAACTTTTTGATAGTTTAGTCGGCCGATCAATTTAGCCTCTATGCGCATATAGCCTTACAATAAATTATTAACTCTTTAGTCTAATTTCAAGACACCCATATATATACTAACGCACATAATATTTTTTCCAAAAATAATATGTTTATTTGAGAATTAAGTTCCTTATGAATTTACAATCATGTATAAAAACTATGTTGGAGTTATAAACGATTTTAAATTTGTTTAATATCTGGTAAGCTAATCTGCCCTATTTAAATTAAATGATTTATCCCCGTTATGTCTATGTCATAATAGAATATAACATAATGTATGCGTTTTATTAGTTTAAATAAATCTTTCATACTTTAGATTTAGACCTATAAAGGAATGACATTTTTGTGTTAAATCTTTTTTTGTAAAACAATGAAGTAATAAGGAATAGTAATTATTTAAAAACGACCTATCAGCTGTCAACGGGATTCATAAATCTTAAAACATATTATGTGATATGGGTAATACAACCTAACATACATTATATAATATTGATTTTTTTACCTCTGGATTAACACTGATATTAATTATTTAACAACAACAAAGACCGCTATATTGCTTTTCATTAGTAGTATAAACATTATACTTTAATTGAAATTAAAGAGCTTTCACCCACCGAAATACTGGCTAAAATGCATATTGCCAGTTATCCGGTCTCGTACACGACACCGGAATGCGTTGAAGCGGTCATCGGAACTCACTGCACTTATATACAACGATCCATCGTCTAGGCGCTGATACTTCGGCCCTACGGAAAACAACATAATTTTGACATTGTTATAATATCTAGTAGATGTTTAGAAAATTATGATAAAATGGATCATGCGTCAAATGTATTATAATACTAACTTATTTAAAATTAAGGTGTGTCAGAACTTAGAATATAAAAAAACGCGACATATTACTGAAATAAAGATATTCTGATGTATCATCAAAGCACTACGTTGCAGTGTAGTTAGGAATCTCTACAAAGCATTTCATGCCACTAGCAGTCTGAAAAATAAAACAGCACACACGGTTATTTAAAGAGTAATTTACATAATATTACCGTTATTCTATCGAAAGCCTACTGTTGACCATCGTTTGCTATAGATTGCCTCTACCTTCTATAGTCGCCATGCTTGCCAAGTAGGTTGGTAACCGCATTTTTATTTCTAGTTGTTATTAGAAAGATGCACATCCCTTGGTTTGTTTCCCTGAATCATCTCTTACGATACTTACGGGACGACATGGGCCCTACGCCGTGAGTTTTCTTATATTATGGTATTTTGCATAATGTTACATTTACCTAAATAGTGAAATACGCTGATGTCATCTTCAGTAAACCAGTCAGTGCTGGCGATGCGGTCGACGCAGTGTGCGGACACCAAACAACGCAACACCGCCGCGTTACCCGCCATCACATATTCATCCGGCACGTGTACTTCCCATGGTACGTTTAATACTAAAAAATATTGTTCAGATAGATGACGTACATTAAGTAATTTAAATTATCAAATATGTGTGGAGGAAAACAGGATAGAAGTGATGAGTGAAAGGAACGAAATGAAATTCATTTATTTCTTTGTAGTATGATAATTTTGCTTTGAAGTAATATCGCTTTACAAATGTCACTTTATATCAAAATATGTTACTGTTTCGAAATGAGATAACTCTAATCGAAATAGAAACTACTAAAGAAACATAAAGTAAAGTAAAGTAAAGTTACAGCCTATATACTTCCCACAGCTGGGCACAGGCCTCCCCTCATTTCTGAGAGGGTTGTAACATCATCTCAATTAATTTATTATATTTACGCGAACACTACACATTGAAATAATACTAGTTTTTACGGAATTTATCGCGTATATTTAACTTTTTAAATAACCGACGTTTCGAGCGTCTTAAAGCGCTTTAAAGTTAAATATACGCGATAAATTCCGTAAAAACTAGTATTATTTAAATCATCTCAATTAATTGCCTTTTTAAGTCCACTGCTGGATAGAGTCCAAAACTTTGGGATCGAAGTTTTTGGATAGATTTTCCGTCACCAGTCGCGGTTGCCGGAGCCTCGTTCGTCGTAGATAGTTGCTATAATCCCTCTTACATCCTATGTGGACTTTGGATTAAGAATATTTACTGGATAGATCTTTTACAATTTTGTCATTGTGTTTCCAGAGTTTTACTAAAGCGCATAGAGAGCAGTTAGGGTTACAATAAATGCAGGCTATTACAATTGAACGCATAAGCAATTTTCCTAAAATAAATTTTTCTAAAGAAATATTTATTAAAATATCAAGTTTTACCTGCGTGAATGTGAATATTCTTCGACAGCACAGCATAACCGTTGTTTAACTTCACTCTACATTTGTACGTGGCGGTGTGCACGTCACGTCTATACCTCTCGGCAGGAAAGGGAGGAAATTCCAGCGAACCGTTCATGAGCACCCGCCGAAGTCCAGCCACCGACGTCATCGGCGTATTGTCAGCTAATAGCCAATCTAACTGTAACAAATAAAAAAAATATTTTGTAGCATTTAAAAGCACTGGCCGCCATATGAAAGGGTTTTACCAATGAAAGAGTTTTGGTGGGGTATTTTTACTTTGGTTATACTATTGCTAGATATAATTACTAAAACGAGTAAGTCAGGGGTCAGTTATGCTGCCATGAATTAGGGATTGAAAGAAAATAAAAAGGGGAAAATGGTTCGGTAAAAAAGGATAAGATAGCATGCCAATAGGATATAAACGTTGTATTAGAGAAAAACCTAAAGAAACTAGTGGTATCTCCAGGAGCTTAGGTAATATCATTATGTAGATATACTCGTCCCACATTAAAGTGTTTTTTTTTTAAATTACTGGTACCGAATCTGGTATACTTCGTGATTAAATGAAACAGTGAAAACATGCAAAGCAAACACGAATGTCAAAACATAAAAATACTAAAGTTATTTGGAATGGAGAAAAGTTGGGGTTTTTTTGGGAATCACTCTTGACGCTTTAATGGGGCCCTCATATATCTTATCTAGCAAGCAGTTGTAGTTTTGCAGCATTATGACGGTAAAAAATTTGAATATACGTGTTTAAACTAGGTTAGTTTGTATTAGTAATTTCCATAGCATAATCTCATATGGAACCTTGCTATGGGATATTTTGCAGAAGAGAGATATAAGAGCTATTTTATAATCTAAATTCGGAGGAATCTCTCAGACAAAATGAAAAAAAAAATATATTAACTTTGGCCTCTGAGTAAATTTACGAAAAATCATATATTTAAGGAAAAAACATACACAGTTTTATTAAAAATAGTGATGTAAACTCTGTAAATATTAATACTAGGAACGAGTATAAGCTAGTTATACCAGTTACACGACTTCGTAAATGTTCAGTATCCATAAGGAGCTGTTAAACAGTCATCTGTTTTGTAAATTAATGAAATAATAATATATTTTTATAAAACACTGGTCTTCAACTCTATATTACACAATTAGAAGTGGATGAGATGAGATTAGATTGCCTCATAAGCGCGGAAGAGAGGGAGGATAATTGCCACAGCCACGTTTGACACTCGGGTTAGCGACCACTCCCATCCCGCACTACACGGTGAACACTACAGGCTAATATAAGCTTTTATGTAATGTAATACATACTTAATATAAATGACACTAATATCATTACTCAACAATGTTTCTTTAAATCAGGTCATAAAAATTCTCTATAAAAAAGAAGTTGTGTGCTTTTGCGGTTAACTTGACACATTCTACGCTACAACGCAGTATTTATAATACATTTGGGAGCATTCGGGTAAGCTATAAAGCCGAAATTTTGCTCCCTTGCGTGTGTTTGTATCTTATAATCTATTGTCATTTATTTTGATCAGCGTATTTATTCGTTTATATGTATTGAAAACATTTAATATATGATACTTTGTATTAAGATATGAAAGAACTATGCCCATAATTTCTTTCACTTTTTTTATAGGATAGATAGAGTGACAAACGAGCACACAGTCCACCTGATGGTGAGTGATTGTTGTGGCCCATAGACATCTACATCTATCCTCGATTACGAATCAAAATGCAGATGCGTTGTCATCCGTGAGGACTTAGGTGGAATGCCTGGTTTCCAGTAAAAAGGGTATCCAGCTCTCAATACTCACCATACGAAACACAGCAGCATTAAGCTACTATTTGGCGCTGGTATTCTGTGAGAGCGTGGTCCATCCCCGGTCGAGCCGACCCATTCGTGCTACAAATATACTATTAATATAACTGCAGCATGGCTGTACCACGTATAATGACCACGTATGATGATATAATCCGTAATGTCAATATCAGTGGAATTATAGTAACCAGTGCAGCGTAACGTATAAATAACTGAATTGGAATGAGTCAATCATGCTAAGAACTGGTCCCTTATGTGTTAGAGCCATTCTGTAGCTCTATGTTTTGGTTGTAGCATAAATGGGTCTGTTTGACGGTAGTTGGTGCTACGGCTCCCACAGAATTTCAGCGTAAAATAACAGCTCAATGCTGCTGCGTTTCGTATGGTGAGTAATGAAGCGGATACCCTTATTACTGGAAACGAGGTCCTCTGGGGTGATAACGCATCTGCATTTTGATTCCTAATCGAGGATAAATGTAGATGTCTACGGGCCACAGTATCCACTTACCATCATGTGGACGGTGTGCTCGTTTCTTACCATTATTATATAAATAAAACTGATATTCGATTGTGAGAAAAGATAGTCGTATCGAGATAGTATCTTCTTGTTCTTCATCAGTTCGCAAACGTTCACTGCTAAACTTCTCTTATTGCAGGGAAAATTTGCCTTCAACATCTTCGATCATAATGCTAGGAAGGCTGGCTGATTCCCGTACCAGACGTCTTGCACCTTTGACAATGCTTACTGACGCCGGTCTGGGTATTTTATAATCCTATAGAGGTTCATTATGGTCTTTTGAAAATTCCAACTAGTCAGAGACGGATTCGGTTTATATTTCTTTGAACAATCTAATTGCATCTTAAAAATCTTGTATTTAAATTACCATAATTTAAATTTGGCACAACTGAACTCTTGACCTCCTCAAATAGCTTGTTTCCTACCTGAAAGAACAATAAAATTCACATTGTGTAGTAACTTATGAAGGACTAAAAAGAAAAGGGATCGTATTCGGAAACTTTCGAGTTTAATATTCTTACTCGTTCAGTTTTGATTAAAGTTATGTTTTGTTTTAAGGGTCGGGTAAATGATCGAATGAAAAAACCCGCATGTTTATTGGAATTCTCATAAAATGTTTATTGATAAGGATTCCTCGTACTCGTTTAATATTCTTGGATATCTAAGCCGTATTTTTATTTTTTAGCTTATTTTTCTAATCAAAAATTCCCTTATAATTGAATGATTTAATACCCTATTAGCGTATATATGAAGCGTATAATAGCGTTATGAATTTTAACAGTCTCAGCCACATATTTATTTATTTAATATTCTTTATTGCGCTCCATACAAAACATACAAAACTCATTTATACCAAAGTATGCAATGGGCGGTTTTAATACTGACAATAATCAGTAGTTTAATATGAGAACATTTTATTAATTAGCGACTACCAAATTAAGTTGAGTCGTGGTTAGAAGTACCTTTAATTTAAAAAAAATCTAATGTCACCTTATTGTTACGAAAACATAGAAATTACAAAAAAAAAAAAAAACTTCTTCCCAGAACAGAAGTTTTTTTCAGTACCAATGGTGAAAGTAAAAAATTATTTCAAAAAGAATTACATGTAATCTATATAACATATAAAATAAAAATGATTCTATTCCATTCTATTCTAATAAATAAAATCCTAAGAAATCGCTAATATAGTTTGATGACTATGGTGACTATTTGTATTTCGTATGGTGAATGTAGCGAACCGGAGACAGGAACGGTTGGACTGTGTGCTCGTTGGTCACCCTTATTACATAAAAGAAAAACAAACCGACTTTGAGTCAGGTTTGAAAAGAAAGGGTTCTCCCTAATGATATTGTAAGAAATTTCAGTTTATTAATTTGTAATTTCGGCAAATCACTATAATAAGGGTTCAAGTTATTTCAAAGTACGTCGTTTTCCTTAGCTTTCCTTTTCCTTTTGATTTAATCAATACTAAAGTTTCACCATGTAATGGCGCCGTAACATTGTCCTTATGGACACTGTTACGGCGTGTGTACCACGGGTATTATATACTGTGTATTATATATTATATACTGTCCAGCAGTATCATCTTGAATACAACTTTTTTTTTCTTAGATAGGGTGACAAACGAGCACACAGTCCACCTGATGGTAAGTAATTGCTGCGGTCCATAGACATCTACATGTATCCTCAATTACAAAACAAGATGCAGATGCGTTGTCACCCGTGAGGACTAAGATGGAATGCCTGGTTTCCAGTGAAAAGAGTCTCCGATTCTCTACACTCACGCTATTGTACGCTGGTATTCTGTGAGAGCGTGATCCTTTCCCGTTCGAGCCGACCCATTCGTGCTACAATTATACTATAAATATAACTGCAGCAAGGCTCTACCACGTATGAACTCTCTGTAATAAAAACTTTTTATAATAAAAAAACTGCAGTAGCCAATCTGCCTGCCATGCTGCAGATTATGGAAAATATTTCTTCTAGGGGGAAGGATTTAACTATACTAATGTCATTTATTGTTATAAATAATTTATCCAATCATTTAAGTGGAAAATAGGCGCCAGCAGGAAAAGTTTTATAGGATGTGCAGATGTACACATACGAGTATGGGCATCTGAACGTCATAGTATGAGACAATATATGTTGGAGGCCTATGTTCTGCCGTGAACTTTTGACAGGCTGTATTGATTTGAATTTTTTTTGTTAAATATTAATTTTAATTGAAATCGTTACCATATTTTTAAAACTGACTATTAGTTTAGATTATAGTGATTGCACATCATCTTATAGTTTGCACTATGGCACTAATCTAATTAATTTTACAACATACTTTCCATATCGGAAAATTAGAACAAGTTGAGCTTTGTCATCGGAAAACCCTTTTTTAAACTTCCCAGTGGGAAGTTATTATAATGGGTCCGATTTTGCAAATGGGAAATTTTAAAATATTTCCACGTTTTTTACAAGGTCTTTAAAGTCGAATAGTATGGTTTTTAAGAGGATGTCCGTGTGTGCACATGTACGTATGTATGTTTGTATGTTCGGATTCAATTTTCGCCTCATGTTTATCGAGAACAAAGAGTGATATTGACATGGGACCAGTTTCATTTAACGAACTAAGTTACATAATTATGTAACTTAGACCTCATTAAATTTTGAGCAAAATCGGTCAAGTCGTTTTTTGTGCCGAATGAAAAATTGTATAAAATATTAAAACATATAATATTTTTTTATTCTTTCCACTGGGAAGTTAGTCGTGTGGAACTTTCGGGTCGCACTCAGACCGCTTTTT